CCCCCCGTCCACTCCACTGGCTCCTGCGGCGTCTCCACCGCGAACAGCTGGGATGAGGCCGGGCTCAGCTTCTGCTTGGTGGGGGTCTGGCAGCGGGAGTTGGCCTCTGGCAGGGAAGGTGGGCGCTGGATGAGCGTGGCGTGGGAGAACGCAGCTCCCATGGGCGATGGACCCTGCAGCGCCCCACACCCCACCGGGTCCCAGCCCTCTCGCAGCCCCACACCCTCCCTGTGCACTCCATCAGCCCAGGGAGGCGTGAGGGGCTCGGGCTTTGCCTGGCAACGCTCCCCCTTCCCAGGTAGGACAAGGGGTCTCACGGCAGCAAGGGCAGGGCCCCACGTCTCTCCTGTTTGCTCAGGCCCAGCTGCAAACACTGACTCTGCCCGCTCTGAGCCTTGAACCTGGTGCCAGGGGACTCCTGTCCCTGCTGCTGGGGGGGTCTCTGGGCTGGCCTCCTACCCGAGGAGCTGGAGGCCCACTCGTTGCCCGTGTCACGGTCGCTGTCACCCTCCCTCGTCTCGGCGACGGCAGCGGCCGGGGGGTTGGAGCAGGACGCGCCTACCGCGTGGTGCCGCCGGCGGCGCCGTCCTGAGCACTTGGACCGGGGGTTGTGCAGCGCAGCGAACTCCTTGGCTCCTTCCTGCAACCAAAGCAGAAGAGGGGGTGGTGGGGGAGGACCAGGGACACGGAGCTGCTTCTCAGGCCCTGGGACAAGCCCTGCCACTGTGCATGGTTCCTCCAGCAGCTGCCGCAGCCCCACCAGTCCCCCTGCATGTCCCCACTTTGCCCCCTTGGCATCGCCACCGGTTGGGAGAGGGTCCCTGGCCCCGTCCCTGTCTACTGTCCCGCTGTCACCCTGGCCATGAATTTCTCCCCTCCTCTCCCCGCACACCAGCCCCTGACACACCACGTCTTGGCCAGCTCCACACCACCACGACCCCCTTTCTGCAGCTCCATCCTGGTAACACAGCCCGGGTGCATCATAAAGATAATTTTAAAAAAGCTCGAGCCTTCCCTGCACACAATAGATCCCTTCTCAGCTTCTTTAACCTGCACTTCATCTGTCAAAAGCTGCACTGAGTCCAGAGAAGTCGTTTGTCACCAGATTTCCCATCTGCTAGCTATGAAATTAATGTTGGAGATTCACTAAAACATGCATCTGGTAAAGTCTGCACTTGGATTCCTGCTCCCCCCAATCCAACGAGGATTAGAAATAATCCTGAAAAAATCACCCAAGTTGTGTCAAGGGCCCACAGGTCCCAGAGCGGGGCTGGCCAGGACAGGCTCTCCTGTTTGGAAAGCAGCAACGCAGACACGTACCAGCCAGAGGAAGCAGTCTGCTCCACAAGGGTCTGGCTCGATCTTGGTCTCTCTATTCTTTCGTTTGTACACATTAGGAGTGGCATGAAAAGCTGAAAAAATAACGGTTATCTTTACTGTTATTGCCCTCCAAGGGTCTCCCCCAACACTGCAAGGGACAAGGCAGCAGGAGCCCAGTGCAGTAACTGGGAGCCCTCCCTGGCAGCAGGGAATGGGGCAGGACCTGACCAGCCCTGGGCAGCACTGGGGTGCACAGGAGGGAGAGGCGTAGGGAAAAGATCTGCTTCCAGACTGAAACAAAAAGACCACATGATCTCAATATTATATCTTTTAATAAATAATTGACTGGAAGGAGTCCTGTAACTTTCCAAAGAAGCCTTGGACCTGGGAAATGGCAGGGTCAGCAGCTAACCAGCATCCCAAAGGCTTTGCAGGACAAACCGCAGGAACATGACTAAGATGAAACTGTAAGTCCCAGAGAGGCAACAAAACACAGGGGCATGTCCAGACTTTGGGAGTGAAACATTCAGGCCTTTCCCTGATGAGCTTCTGCAAAGCAAGAGCAAAGTCTGGTGGCGGCAGCGTTTTTGGCACAAGCTGCCAGGCGGCTCAGCGCGGTGAACGGGGACGGCCACGAGGTCACTCTACCGTCCATGAGGGGAGGAGCGGAGCCATTGCTACAAAAGCTTCTGGGCACCCGTCAGCCCCCCGCGGCTGCACCGCGAGCGCCGGGGAGCGCAGCACAGACACACACGAGGCAAACAGGGACGAAGCACCGAGGAAAAACGAGCAGAAAAAGGCTCTAGGGGAGCGTCCGGCCCAGACTGCACTTACGATGCAGAAAGCAGTCGTATTTGAAGCAGCGTCGGCAGAAGAGGGTGTGGAAGGAGTGCAGGGACTGCTCGCGCTGGACCGACTTGGCGCAGGGCCCGTCGATGTTGGGGGTGCACTGCGGGGGCAGCGCATTCGGGTCCGACACCTCCGTCAGCTCCCGGTACCTGCCCGAAAACAGGAACACCTGCAGGTGTGCGCACTGTTCTCATCTGGGACGTTTTACACGACTACATCGCTACCTGGGCCACTAGGACTCTGCCCAGGCAGCCTGAGGCTGAACTGAAGTCTCTAATGCCTAAAAACCGCCCCGGTGCCTACAGCAGCTGAGCTTTGCTGCAGGGTCAGAGCACAGCACTGTGCTCTGAAATGCAGATTTCGGCTGCTGCTAACAGAGGTGAGGGACACGTTAAGCAGAGATCTTCTACCTCTCCTTCATGTCATCTGGGAAGCCGTACTCGGGAAACATGGAGGAAATCGCAGTGAATATCATGTCGTTTGGAAACCGCTTCTTTGAGCACTTCTTGTTACCTAGGGAAAAGGAGAGGCGATTCCTCGGTTAAACTGGATGTGAACGCGTCTTTCCATCTTCCAGAGCATGATTCCAGCAGGGGTTCAGGACTCTATTTTAGGAGACAGAAATGCAATCCCGTAGACAATGGATAAACCTTTTGTCCTGCAACCAGGCTAAGGCGTTTCCAGCTGCAGTCCACTGCCACCAACAGAGCAGCACAGTGTGTTGATGGCAGCACTAATGAGTTCTTATTAAGGACTGTTACTGATTATTTTTATCGAGGCAGGATTTGCAGACAAAGCTTTTCTACATCTACAAAAGGTCCTGGTATTTGTGCTGCCCGTATCACTGCAAGCCAAAGACAAAGCTGAAAGTATCACTCAGCATTCCCAAGGTCAAGCAGGACACGAAAATCCCAGAAACCAGAGCTTCCTCTGCACACAAGAACTGCAGGGGGTACAGGAGGGGGAAGGAGAACAGAAACGCATGGAAAAGGGGTCTGGGAGGGATTTGGGAAGGCCTCTCCCTGCTTGCAAACCCACAGACAGATGCTGGCCAGACCGGCACTGAAAACCCCCGAGAGCAGAGATCCTCCAGCCTGCACAGGTGAACCCCGCTGCTGCGCTGACCTCACCACAAAACAGTTTTCCAGATGTTTCATCCCAGTTGTCCCTCACCACACTTGGTGACTCCTGACCCTGTCCACAGGGCACCGTGACAAAATGTGATTTCCCTTCTGCTTTCGACCACCGCACCAGGACTGGCCAGGCCGGCCACTGTCTTAGTGACACACTGATAACCACGAGTGACCGCAGGAGAGCAGGGGCCAGGTACCTGGGCAGGACAGGATGGAAACATGACCCACACAACCCAAATTTCCATGGCCAAACCCACCTTCCACCACAATTCGCTTTCTTTTCCTTGTGACTGGCAGCTCCTCTTTGCCATCCTCCTGTTTGACCTCAGAATCGTTGTGTCCCTCCTCCTCGTCGTCCGAGTACTGATTAAGCGCATTTACCAGCTCCAGGAACACCGCGTCGCTGATGAGGACGGACCCCGAAATCATTTCTGGAACACAGAAAACAGCCAGTTTGTAGGAGTGCCACCACCTTTCATGCATAGTGGTAAATCATGGTTTTCTGCTCTAAAAGCTCCCACTGAAAAGCTGGTTACTGCTGCCACCTTTTGACTTCGTAACTCCTTTGGTTTGTTTACTGCAGGAGACCGAACAGACAGCACTGACTGAGCCCTGTTACCTTCCTCCCCATGGACCTTCCCATCGTAGTTGTTAATAAGTTCCTCAATGAACGTTTCGTCCTCTTCCTTCACCTCGTCGCCCATGTAGGGGATGTTGCACAGCACGGTTTCATCCTCCACCTGAGGAGGGATCAGACACGGCTCAGGACCCGGTGCTCAGAGCATCCCCAGGCTGCTCCTGCCCACCCGGACTTGCAGACACCGTGCAAAGCTGGGGCTCGACCCCCACCCGCAGTGTCAGGTATCTCATCACCAACATTTCATCATTATCCCATTCCAGCAGCGTAACTCTGACCCCTGAAACTGCAATTTGCCTTAAAAAGGCACACATAGCCAAGAATAACCAACAGCCTCCCCGCATACCATGAAATTCTGCTGAAGAGGGGACCAGGAGTACATAATGGGCACCAGTGCCACTGTGTTCAGGGTCCTCATGTACAGCGTCTGGCTTGGAAACCCCGGGAAGATGCTCTCAACAGTGCACTGGAACAGAGGGATGGGCAGTGAGGGAGCACCCCAAGGCGGGTGCAGGCAGAGGGAAACAGCACCTCAGCAGAAACACAGCAAAGCCCCGCATCTGGCACTCCACAGGAAAAGCATTTGGGGTTTTTTTGCCCATTTCTGCATCCCAGAAGAGTGTGAGGCGCTGCCCGACACCAACACAGGACCCACACACAAAAACCGATCCCGAATTACTGCAGCTCCCTGCAAAGCCCCGGTTCTGGCCCACCCTCGCTGCCGCTGTGCCCCTTTTTTCCTCACACCTGTTTTAGGAAGGGGTGCCCGCTGACTGGCTTCATCAGTTGCACCGGCTGGACTCGAAGCTGCTTCCAGTCTTCATTCAGAATTTGTGTCTTTTCATGAACCTTTGCAAAGTTGGCCACGAACAGAGCCTGAAATGAGAGAAAGCAGCACTCAAAATTTAAGAAATCATGTTGAGAATCTTAAAACTCCTCCTAAGATGGTGTTTCAGGTATCACAATGTACGCGAGGCAGAGCATTTCAAATCAATGATACTCATTAGAAGGAATTTGCATTAAACTCAAAACTGGGCTGAAAATCCTCACAGCAGCCACAACCTTTGGACAACTCCTGATCGCAGCTGCCCTCCTCTAAAATCCTCCTGCCAAGGAGGGGAGCATCGGCACCTACATCCCCCAGCACCAAGGGAGCCACATGTTAGAGGACAAGCAGTAACGTGTCCCCTCGCTGCTGTCATGCCAGCGCTGAGCCAGGGACTCCCCCGCACAGCAGACGCTGACTGCTCAGCTCGGGGTGATCACAGAGCGAGGAGAAGCTGCATCGCTTCCAGCTCATCCAGCGTGCAAGCAAAACGCAGTTATCATTTCACAGGATGCAGCTCTGACCCAAAAGCTGCTCAGACACCACGGGCTACAGCGACGTGTTCAGGAGGCATCGCCACAGCGTTACCTTGGCTCCCATGTTCGCCTGAAACCTCTTCAAGACGCATGTATTCAGACTTGACTTTCCTTTTCCAGTATATGATACACTTCGACGATGGAGGAGTGGCGATTTCCATTTTTCTATAAAAATGCAGAAACCATAAATATCAAAACACGGAGGGTGTAATCCTGTAAACAAGTGCTATTAGAAATTAAATCCCTGTGGATTTTAAATGCATCATGGACTTTAACTGGGGAAAAATAACTGCGCAAATCTGCACTCGTTTTAGGGAGCAGCTGCAGAGCGATGCGCACCGAGCTGCTGAGGCTCCTGGACGCTCCTGCCCCAGGACCCCCGCGGCCCCTCCCCGGGCGGAGCCTCC